CCGGGCATAGTCAGGAATCCAAATAGGTTCCTAGAAATACTAGCAAAAGAGACTAGATAGAAGAATGTTTCAATCTGATAGGGAGAAATAGCCCCATGAGCAAGTAATGGGTGCTCTGATAATGCTACTTAAGCCAAAGATTGAGCTGGAGAAGACAGTGTCTGGGGACATGGTTTGTATAAAAAGAAAAAAGAATAAGAACACATTGATGTAATTGAGTGAAATAGGTGATTTTATATAGGAAAAAATCTATTAATCACCAGAATTTTACCTAGTCTATTAGGTAACCTCTAAGGAGTGTTTCAATACTGATTCTCTAATTTTATTAACACATATTGACTTTATAAAGTAAGAAGACTTGGAAAGAGCCAATACATATAATCCCTTTAAGAACAGATTTTATCATCTATTACCTATTATATTAACTAGTTTAAAAGAGAAAATTTATACAATATGTGTAAGGGATAAAGAATAGCAAACATACCCAGTACACACTACTCAGTTTGAGAAATAGAACATTATCATTGGTTTTGATGTCCCCTACATCAATTTTCCAGATCATCATATCCACATTCCCTTCAGAGATAGAGATCATTTGAGTTTATTGTCCTGTTTTATTTATAATTTTATCACGTTTGAATAACAATGTATTATTTAGTTTTGCTGCATAACAACAGCAACATAAACCAAAATGTAGTGACAATATAATAAATGTTCACCATTTCTTGAGATTCTCTGGGTTGTCTAGGCAGTTCTTTGGAAAGGCTCTGCCTTTCTTTGCGGGGTCGTCTCACCTGCTATCATTTGGTGGCTCAGCTAGGATTGGATTGTCCAGGATGGCCTCAATCACCCACCTGACAGTGAATTCTATGTCAGCTGGGGTCCTTGATCACATTTCTCTTATCAACCACCAGGCTAACCCAGACTTGTTCACATGGTGAGGGGCAAGCTTTCGAGAACAGTAAGAAAACAAGGGCCAAAGCGCAAGAAATTTTCAAGCCTCCAATTGTGTCATGTTTGCTAATGCCTCATTGGCCAAAGTAAGACACATGGCCAAGTCAAAATCCAAGGGTGGAGAAATAGACTCTACCTCTCCAAGAGAACAGCTGCAAAGTCACGTTGCAAAGTGTGTGCAAATACAGATGGGAAGAATTTGTGGCCTTTTCTGCAATCAACCACTCCTAAAAATAAGTTTTGGTTTTGTATGTTCTTAAATTGTATATAAATAGAATAATGCTGAATAATTCCACATGACTTGCTTTTTCTACCCAGTATTTTTTCGTTCAAGTATTCATGTTGTTTCAGATATTTTTCATTCATTCATTTCACTGCTATTGTAAACATTTTTTAATGTCTTCTTCTAAGTTGTCTTTTTTTAAAAATTCTTTATGTTGTGTTAAGTTTATAATTCACCACTCTCTTTTTTATGGTTTGCCTTTCTTTGTATATTGTTAAAGATATCTTTCCATTTCCTGATGTCGGAAAGATATTCTTCTACCTTGTCTCCTAAAATTTTATAGTTTTACACGTCACAGTGAAATCTTTGCTGATTAGGAGTTGATTTGTGAAAATGATGTGATATAACCACTTTTCTTACCAGATATCATCTCAATTTTCCCAGTGAGCTTCGTGATATTGAGTCTCCCAACCCGTAAACATGATATTTCAATATTTATTTAGGATGTTTTATATTTTTCAACAACATTTTACATATTTTTCCCTATAAAAGTTTTGCACCTTCCTAGGTACTTTCTTTGTTATGCTATTGAAAATATCCTTTTAAAATTACCTTTACTAAATATTTGTTGATAGTGTACAAAGTTGCATTTAATTTCTATATCTAGAACACTTGCTAAACTGTATTTTATAATTCAGCTGTACATTCATTTGCTTTTTTTTTTTTTAAGATTTTATTATTTCCTTTTTCTCCCCAAAGCCCCCCGGTGCATAGTTGTATATTCTTCGTTGTGGATTCTTCTAGTTGTGGCATGTGGGACGCTGCCTCAGCGTGGTTTGATGAGCAGTGCCATGTCCGCGCCCAGGATTCGAACCAAGGAAACACTGGGCCGCCTGCAGCGGAGCGCGTGAACTCAACCACTCGGCCACAGGGCCAGCCCCCATTCATTTGCTTTTTAATTTAGGTAATAATATCAAGTTTGAATAGTGATTGCTTTGTTTCCTTATTTCTAATTACTTTACTTTTAATTTACTCCTGATGCCTTATTGTGCTAATTAGGACTTCTAGTACAACGTTAAACAGAAGCAGCAAAGCAGAGCAACCTTTTCTTGAAATGATCATAAAAGGAATGTATTCAATTGTTGGGTTTTTCTTCAGGTGGTGGGGCAGAGAGTGCCGTAAACAATTTCTCTTTTATTTCTAATTTTCTAAGAGTCATTTTTCTCTTAACTATGAAGGGAGGTTGAATTTTATCAGCTATTGAGATCATTATATTTTTTAATGCTTAATGTGGTGAATTATCTTAATTCATTTTCTAATAATAAAAATCTTTGCATTCTTGTGCTAAACCAAATGTAATCTTTCTGTATTATTTTTTATATACATTGCTGGATTTATTCTGTAATATTATATTAGGACTTTTGAATTTATGTTTATAAGCGAGATTGTCCTAGGATTTATTTTCTGATAATATTCTTATCATGTTTTACTTTCAAGATTTTTCTAGCTTCATAAATTGAGTGGAGGAGTGTTCCTTCTCTCTCTCTCTCATTTATTTAAAACTGTAATTATTAGCTCCTTGAATATTTTAAAGAAGCTGACAGTAATGTAGTATAGATCTTTTTTTTTTTTTTTATTTTGGTGGATTTATTTAATGGGTAGAAGAAATCAAGTTGTTAATTTTTCTTGATTTAGTTCTGATATGTAATTGTTTTTCAGGAATTGTCCATTACATATAAGTTTTCAAATATCACTCCCTTTTTTATTCATATTATTTATTTGAGCCTTTTTTTTCTTGATTACTCTCACTAGAATATTGTTGATTTTATTAGCCTTAATTTTTTTGGCTTTATTGTTCTTCTCTGTTTTATTTTTATTTTCAGCTATTATATATATTACTTACTTTAAATTGTCTTTTTTTTTTACATTTTATATTTCTTTATCTCACTTTTTAAATCAAAAGCTTACCTAATTTTGATTTTTTTCTTCTTTTTTAATATGGCCATTTTATAGCTATATAATTTCCTCTAAGAACCGTTTTAGCTACAAGCTATAATTTTGATATGTATTATTTTTATTATTCAATTCTATGTATTTGTAATTTTCATTGAATTCTTCTTTGACCCATGAATTATTCAGAAAAGTTTCTTAATTTCCAAACACATGGGATTTTTCTAGTCAGCTTTTGAATATTGATTTCTAACATAATTGCACTGAAGACAGAAGGAATAGTTTCTTTGATTCCAATGTTTTGACATTTACTGACATAAATTCTATGGGCCAGTATGTCAACAATATTTAGAAATGTTCCAAATTTGCAAGAAAAGATTGTATATTCTACAGCTGTTTGCAGTGGCGTTCTTTATAATGGCTTCATATCAACCTGTTTTTTATGCTGTTAAATATTCTATATTCTTACTTTTTTGTTGTTATTGTTAGATCTATTACTTAGAGAGGTACACTGAAATTTCCCACTATGATGGTAATTCTGTCAATTTTTCTTTGTAGCTCTGTCAAAATGTATACATAGCTATATCATTAAGAAGATACAAGTTTAGATTGTTTATAGCTTTCTGGTAAAAATCTTTTACCTTCTACCACTAGAATATAAGCCATCTAAGGGCAGGGCTTATCTTTTTCTCTTTTATTTATTCGTACATCCTATTGTGTTTGAATTCTATCACTGGTGTTATCATGTTCTGCACCCACCGGAAATGGCCAGACTGATAATGCCTGTTGAAAGTACAACTGAGGTGCTAGCTCAGAAAAAGTACCTAGTGAGGATGGAATGTTATGCTGTGGGGTGCAGCATACACTTCATATTAATGCTGATTCTGTGATGCTGTGTTCCCAACATGTGCTGCATGGGTTTGGGAAACCAGGGAGGGAATTAAGAGTGACCTCATGTACTGTCATTCCTAGGGCCCATTTGGGAAAGTTTGTGCTTCCCATCCTACAACTCTGGGTTTTGCATGTTTAAAAGTACTGGTTCCCAAAGTAAGACAGTTTTCGCTAGGGGAAGGAAAAAGATTTCCATTGACTTTAAGCTATGCCTCCTGTCCAGGCACTTTGAACTCCAAGGTCAGGGAGGTCAGAGGATACAAAGGAATAACCCTCCTGGTGGGGGGATTTGACTCTGATAATCAGAAGAAAGAAGACTGCTGTTACACAATGTGGACAGGGGGAGATATATGTGGCACCCAGGCAACATACTGAGGCATCTCTTGGCACGTTCTTGCCTAATTTTTAGGGTAAATGGTTGTGGCAGCAGCCACAACCTGAGAAGCGTGCAGTGATCAGGGGCATGGACTCCTCAGAGACCAGCGGAAGTGCTAGCTGTGAGTGAGGAATCAGATAGCAGAGGGGAGATGGGCACTAGCTGCAAGGGTAAGGACTTTTTCTTCTAAGTTTTCCCAGCAAAGAGGACCAGCAGAATCCCAGAGGACGTTAAAAGAGTGGACTCAGGCAGCGCACAGTGTGGACTATAGAGCTCACTATGCTGTGTCACCCAGCTCTTTCTTTCAGGATCAAAGCTTCCATTTTCTCTGCTACTGAGAGTGCTGCTGGCTGACAGCCTCAATTTTAGCATTTTCTGAGAATTGCCCTTGAATGAAGAGAGCGCCCTTTCTCGACATCATGCTCCCTCTCTGAGGTCCATGATATGCATCCGTTGAGACTGTCTCCATCCATAACTGGTTGATGCACATTTATAAACACCTGACTCCTGTCCCCAGCTTCAGAACTCCTCATGGGGAGTTTGCTATGACTGTATCATAGCCCAGTTTCTCCTATGCCCAATTTTGTCTCTTCCCTTCCCCCGCAGCTTTTAATCCTGAGACAACTTCTTTATAAATTACTGCACGATAATGTCCGTGTCAAAGTCTGTTTCCTGGGGAAGCTGACCTGGAACAGATAGAACACACGTGTAAAGCTGTTTGGAAATACAGAGGTCAGTGGTTAACAGTTCAATTTCTTCATTGGGTTATATCTTTTAATAGAAGTTTGAAATTATAGCCATAAAAGTCTTATACAGTTTTGATCTGTTCAAATCTTAAATCTTTATAGTGCTTGTTATTTTGAGTGGGACCCTATTTTATTGTAAGATCAAATATAATATCAGAGTATTTATTTGTTGTAGACAAGAAACCTACTAAATTTTATGTTGATTTTTGTGTCCTGCACATATGCTAAATTGTTTAGTTATGATAATTTGTTGATAATTTTGAGTTTCCTACACAGGTAATAAGTACAATATCTGCGAATAATGATAGTTTAATCTCCTTTTGTCTCCATTCTCATCACCATTATTTTAACTCATGTCTTAAAGAATTGACTAAGACCCATTACCTTTTTGAACAATAGTAGTGTTCTGATCTTTTCTCCCTATGAAGAGGAATCCATTTAATATGTCTCTACCAATAGTAATAGTGGTAATAATAATAATAAAAAGAAAAGTGTTAAATGCTTATAGAACACTACCTTTATGAAGCTAGGAAAATTTCCTTCTATTCTGACAATTTTATTTTTTATCATAATTGAATATAAACTATTTTTCTACATATAGTGAGATAATTGTCTGCTTTTTCTCCTGTAGTTTATTGCAGTAGTAATGTTAAACTCTCCTTTTTTGTCCTGGGATGAATTATATTTTATCATACTGTACTTTTTAAAAGCGTATTGTTGGATTCAGTTTAGTTAAATTTTATTTAAATATTTTGCATTTCTGTTATGAATAAAATGGTCCTATAATTTTCTTTTTTTCTTTTCTTGTGCTGATTTTTTCATGGTATTAATGATTTTCTGAACTTCTAAAATAAATCAGACAACTTTCACTCTTTTTATTTTCTGGAAGAAATGTGTTGCAGACATAGATTGTCTCTTAAAGTTTTGGAATAACTGCTTCATAAAAACATCTGTGACACAATATTTCAGGGAGACAATATTGATTACCAGTGCCATTTTGAATGGTCATTGATTTATTTGAATTTTCTATTTTTCTTGTACAAATTTGGCAGTTTGTGTTTTTTCGTACTATTACCTATTCCATTGAAATTTTAAAATGTGTTAGATTATAGTTGTCTGCAATGTTATCATATAAAATGTAAAAATATATGTCTATGTTAACTAAAAATCTTCATTTTTTCTGTCACATTTTCTCTTTAATAGATTCATTTCCTCTTTTTGCCTATTGTATTAGTGTTAACAAAGAACTAGATTTCAGTTTTGTTAATCGTTTCTATTGTTCTTTTATTCTCTATTTCATTATTTTCTGCTCTTGAATATTTTCTTAGTCTTCAATTTTGTTTCATCTTTATGATCTCTCTTTTTTGCTTTGAAGGGTTTGACATTTCTTGATTATGTATAAAATCTGTATGGTCATATTTTTTCCTTCTGTTCTTAGTCATTTAAAATTTTTTTTTCTATAAATTTTGCACAGATCATACTTTTTCTTCATTCCTTATTTATCTTTTGACTCAGTGGATTTTATATCTGAGAATTTTTTCAAAAAAAATCTTGAAAGAGAATATGTAATAATAGGAATACACTCTCCTTACCCCTTCAACTTGTTTTGAGGGAAATATTTGGATATTTTTCTCAAAACGCACACTTGGAAAATTGATGTTGAGAGTTTACCATTCTACCAGTTGTTTAACTCTGGATATTAGCATAGGGCCAGGATCTTGGGCAGCCATACACTGGATGGCAATTTTCATTCACTATAATTTTTGTTTTAACCCTAAACCAAGTGTGAGTTTGTGAATTTAATGTTCTTTACCCAATCCCTTTACTTGCAGCCATCATCTCACCAAATTTGACGAGGCCAGAAGTCCAAGATGGGTTTCACTGGGCTGAAATCAAGGTGTTAGCAGGACCATGTTCTCCCCAGAGGCTGTAGGATAGAATCTGTTTCTTTGCCTTTTCCAGCTTCTAAAGGCCACCCACATTCCTTGGCTTCTGGCACCCATCCCTCCAGCAATCGTATCACCCTTTTGAACTCTGCTTCTGACATCACCTCTCCTTATCTTCCTCTGCTTCCTTTACCACATCACTTTCTCTCTGTCTCTGTCTCTCCTGCCGCCCTCTTATAAGAACCCTCATGATTACTGGGCCCGCAAGGATAATCCAGGATAATCTGCCCATCTCAAGATTCTTAACTTTAATTACATTTGCAAAATTCCTTTTGCCATTTAGGCTAACAACATACTCGTAGGTTCTGGGGATTAGGACCTGGATGCCTTTGGGAGCCATTATTCAATCTACCATAATATCAAAATTGAGAGATCGAAATTTGGAGAAAATGTCAAATGACATTAATATTATAAAATATTTAATAATTTAGTTAATGTTTTCACACTTCACTTGTAAAAACTGTTGTGAGTTAAGCAGGACATACATATGATCCTCACTTAAGAATTACTTTGAGGTTCAAAGAGGTTAAATGAATTTTTCGAAGTTGCACAGTTATTAGTGAAGGTAGCTGTGAGGTCTAGATCCTACCGCCTGATGCCATCTCGGTCTTGAGATCTCTTATCCTCTGAGTTGGAAGCCATCTTTTCTTCCTAAATTTCCCTATAGCACTTCAACTGAAATTTTCTAGAAGGGGTAATTGCATCCTATCTTGTATAAAAGAAGATCTTATTATTTTTTTAATAAGCTTCTTGAAAAAAAGAAGCATATTTTACTGTCTTTGCTTTCCCCTAAACAAATTAACAGTGTGACGGACGGTGTTCTGTGTCAGCGTGGCTAGGCTATCATCCACCATTTTGAATCAAACACTAATCGACTTATTTCTGTAAAGGTATTTTATAGATGCGATTAAAGTCCATAATCAGTTGATGTTAGGTAAGAAAAGGGAGATTATTTTAAATAATATGAGTAGTCCTGAGTCAATCAGTTGAAAGGCTGTAAGAGTAGCAGAGATTTCCCTGAAGAAGAAATTCCACCTGTGGATAGCAGCTTCATCAGCTGCTGAAGAAGCCCAGCCTGCCATTTAGATTTCAGACTTGCCTTGCCAGCTCACACAACTGCATAAGCCATTTTCTTGCAATAAATCTCTTGATAGATCTCCTACTGGATCTGATTCTCTTTTTGAACCTTGACTGATATGCAATAGGTAACCTGCATATTCTACGTCCTCTATTCATGTTTGTTGATCCAAAATAAATCTGAAGATTTTGGTATTATTTGATCCTATATATTGAAATTAAATTGAAAGAACTCAAGTAACTCCAAAAGACTATATAACGAGTTACCATTTCAAAAAGATTAGACCTTTTGACATGGTTTTAAAGATCTTAAACTTATTTGTTTAATCAAAATCTACAATAAGATTGTATTTGTTTTGAATATGAGTCAGTGTTTTATCGTTGAAGACAACAATTTTGCTTTCTGCATAGCTACCAGCATTCCAGGAGTTGCTATAATCATTGCAATATCTAAGTACTCATCCATTCGTTCCACAAACAGATATTTATTGTCTATGTTCTAAAACTATGAAACTACAACAGTGAACAGACAGGCGGGGATCCTGCCCCATGCCCCCCACCCCTGCATTGTGTTTACGCCAGTGGGGATATCGAAATAAATAGGCAGGTAATTTCCTGATTCCTTCAAAGTTGGTCAAAGAGAGCCAAGATTTCTTGCTGAGTACAACATTCCACTTCCTTGGAATTCATGGCTGAACACTGAAAGGACCTCCAATTTTTTTAATTGTTCTTTTCTGATGGGAGAGAGATAGAAGCTGATAAGAAAAGTCACTTTTCTTGTTTTCACCTTCACTATGGAAGAAATGCCCTGTTAGCTGCCAAGAAAAGAGGAAGTCAAAAGAAGATGGAAGACCTCTGCACACCAGGTCAGGAAATTCCTGGAATACCAGGCTGTTTCCAATAACAGTAGGCCATTGCTTTTATCAGCCTGTTTTGTTGAAATGCAATAAGTACTGATTACACCACAAGCACTAAATGCCAAGCAATGCTCATAAATCTTGGTAGGAACATGGGCTGCAGGACTCAGGTCTCACATTTTTTTTGCCTTAGTACTGAGTGAAAAAGAAAGATTTTTGAATCAGGGTCTACTTCCACCCACAAGAAGATATTCCCTCATTCTATACTTGCCCGATTCCTGTTGGCTCCCAGCAGCCATTTCCCCACCACTGTCTTCCACATTCTGTTTATTCCTCCACTTATTTCTGTGTTCATATGTTCTTATATACAGTTTCATTTCTTTATAAGAGTATAACAATATCCTCTGAATGTCTCTGCTCCTTTAATAATATATCTCATAACCTACTTTATTTGTATTAGGCTTGCGATGTTTTAATGAGTTAAAAATTCATAATTCCTCTAAGGAATGAAACAGAAGCTCAGAGAAGTCAGTTTTTCGATCAAATGACCCTGAACAAAGGAGGACCCTCCTAGGAAAAGTTGGATACTATTTTGAAAGGATTTCTTTACGAGATTTTCAAATAGTTTTTTTCACCATCATTTTTTCTTTAATCCTTACTGAGTGACTCAGAATTAGACTATTTTCAACATACATAATTATGTTATCTGTGGCAATTTGCAGTAAAAATCAGCAAAAATGTTCTTGCTCTCAAAATGGGATCTTTGAGTGGCTTTTCATACTGCGTGTCTTACAAAGAAAGTTGTCCTAAACTTTTTTCCATACTCCTTGGAATTTTCATTTAAGACTCTTCTGGGCCATGGGACTCAGCCTTTCCATTACTAATCCTTAAAGGCAGCTCAGTAATCTTCCCCTACCCCCAGGACAGGAAGCAGGCAGTTGAGCAGTTTTGTGACCAAGACTATGAAACACTGACCGACTTAATTAGCCATGGCATGGAAAAATAAGAGTGGGGGACTAGCTGTGTCCCTGCAGTAGACATTCATGAGTTTCTGCCTTTTATTTTAAAAAAGTTAAAGCAGAGGACTCTAAATGTCCTTTTGGCTA